TTCCTTCCTTCCTTCCTTCCTTCCTTCCTTCCTTCCTTCCTTCCTTCCTTCCTTCCTTCCTTCCGTTTGGAGACAGGGTCTCATATATCCCACGCTAGCCTTGAATCTAGCATGGTCAAGGTTGGCCTTGAACTCCTGATCTTCCCTCCTCTGTCTCTCAAGTTCTGGGACAACAGGCACACACCATCGCGCCCAGGCTAAGCCCGCTTTCTATGTCTTTGTCCTGGTTCTTCCTCAGAGGTGACTTCCAGTGTCTGAGGGACCTCAGGGTCTGTGGGAGGTGGGTCTAGCACACCCCAGCTTGGGAAGTGGAAAAAGGAACAGGGATGTGTACCCACCTCCGTTTTACCGTTCATCAGCTGTGTAGTGGTGGACAAGTCACTTTATGCCCGTGTCTCCACTTCTTCCGACGGATGGCTGACTGGAGTGCTAGGATTACAAGTGTGCATTGACACTTCAGCGGGACACGGTTGAGAGTTTGTGACATGTAGGGAGTGCCCGATGGGTGGAAAGCGCTCCGCCAATAGCAGCTGTTACCTTCTGTTCATGTGTAACTCAGGTTCTTACTCAGCCTGAAACCTCTTGGCCCCCACCAACTGAGCACTCTGGCTTCTTCTACATCCTTGTTCACAGGTCTCCTCCCTGGGAGTCACAACCTTTAGTCTCTGTGCTCTGGGCATAGACCGCTTCCATGTGGCCACCAGCACCCTGCCGAAGGTGAGGCCCATTGAGCGATGCCAGTCCATCCTGGCTAAGCTGGCTGTCATCTGGGTGGGCTCCATGATGCTGGCTGTGCCTGAACTCCTGCTGTGGCAGCTGGCGCAAGAGCCCGCTCCCGCCGCGGGGACCGTGGACTCGTGTATCATGAAACCTTCAGCCAACCTGCCTGAATCTCTCTACTCCCTGGTGATGACCTACCAGAATGCCCGCATGTGGTGGTACTTCGGTTGCTACTTCTGTCTGCCCATCCTCTTCACTGTCACCTGCCAGCTGGTGACGTGGCGGGTGCGGGGCCCACCGGGCCGGAAGCCCGAGTGTAGGGCGGGCAAGCACGAGCAGTGTGAGAGACAGCTCAACAGCACGGTGGTGGGCCTGACTGTGGTCTACGCCTTCTGCACCCTCCCTGAGAACGTCTGCAACATCGTGGTGGCCTACCTCTCCACTGAGCTCACCCGGCAGACCCTGGACCTCCTGGGCCTCGTCAACCAGTTCTCCACCTTCTTCAAGGGGGCCATCACCCCCGTGCTCCTCCTGTGCGTCTGCAGACCCCTGGGCCAGGCCTTTCTGGATTGCTGCTGCTGCTGCTGCTGTGAGGAGTGTGGCGGTGCCTCGGACTCTCCGGCGACGGTCGGCGCGGACAGCAAGCTGAAGACCGAAGTGTCTTCTTCCTCCATCTACTTCCATAAGCCCAGGGAGTCACCCCCGCTCCTGCCCCTGGGCACCCCTTGCTGAGTCTAGCGGGGCACGGGAGCAGGTGCAGAGGGGGGCCATCCCATCTCAAGACAGTCTGCCGGTTCTTTCCCACAGGCCTCACGTCAACTTCTCATCTTGCTGTTGAGAGATGGACTTGGCTCATTTCGTCAAGGTGTGGGCTTGTCAGAGCCCCGTCTGCCACTCTTACGCGCTGAGGGACCTGCCAGCCCCGTCCCTCCCGCTTGTAGGTGGAGATCTGTCTAGGTCATTAGAGTTGCCCAGAGTCTCGATTTGGCCATCTCAGAGCTAGGCGTGGCCCTTGGCTGCCCTCCCTTCGGTCCTGGAATCGGACTATAGGTCCGCTGAGCACCCCTTCTCAAGTCCCACCTCGGCTCCCATCCTGGACCGGGGACTTCATGGGGGCCCGACCTAACCAGGCTCGGTACTCCATTCTCTGAAGTGGGCCTGTCTTAGCCCTCAGTGTCTCTTCCCAGAGGATTCTCTCACGTCTGTCTTCCATTCTCTGAGGTGGCCCAGTCACACCGTTCAACCCCCCACCTCCTCTTAGGCATTTTCCTGTAGAAGGCCATTCTGGAAAAACAATAAAGTAGGTACCACAACCCTGTGCCCACTGAACTTCCTTGTCCATGACTGGACAGTACCTAGACATGCAGCCAGGCCTTTTCCTGGACCCGCAGTCCCCTTGGCCCGAGCCTATATTTTGTTGTCCTTCCTTGGGGGAGGGGTTCTAAGGATGTCATAGCTTTTGAGGGACAGAGGAGGAAAGGCTTCGGGAACTGGGCACTAAACCCTTATCCAGAGCTAAACACAGCTGCCCCTGGGAAGTCAACCCACTCGCCTCCAGGGCCCCCGCCTCCGCTCACCCTCTCCACAAAGCCCCCATTTGAGGAAATCCAGAGGCCTTCCTTTCGTGAGCCACAAGGCTCCTCAGCCTCCCTCCCTCCCTCTAACAGTGGCTCTTGTTCAGTTTCTTAGAATGGACTGTTTGGCTCTGAGATGACCCAGCTGCCTACCCCCACCGGCCCCCACCCCCCTACCATACCACCCTTCCCAGCAGAGTTCCATAGTAGGTCCCAGCGTACCCAGCAGCTCCTCCTCCTGGTCCCTGCCCTTGAAATCCCCCAGCTCTACCCCCGAGGCACTTCCAAAGGACCCCTTCTCTCTGCTGGACTATAAGCCAGAAGTGGGGCTCAGCCTGGGCTACTGGTGTCCACCTCCCACACGCCCAGCTTTTCGGGAGCCGCCCTTCTCTGGAGCTCAGCTCTGGGTCCCACAGAGACGTGCTCATCAGGCCAGTCTAGAACCTCTACCAGCTTAAGTCCCCAAGGGCACGGGGTCACGAGCAGCCCAGTTCCATTCTTCTTTGCCCAAACACCCATGTCCTTGGGCCTTGGTCCGCTGGAGTGTCCAAGTCTCCCTCCCCGCTACCCGGAATCTGAACAGCCTTGTTCTCGATCACGGGCACCGCCCCCCCCCCCCC